CTTCCCATGTCACACTTTTCAACACCTTTTTACATAACCGAGCTTGGGACGCTTTCCAGTCCCCTCCCCCCTTCAAAGCGTTACGTACTTTTTGAACGACCTCTAATATGTATTTGAAAGTATGGGTACAATAACAAGTTAAGTGTAATGTTATTCCACCTATACGTTCATTTGTATATTGAGATGTAGCATCCCTAAGAGCACAGTTGACGGAAAGTCGACGGTAAGTCGACTTTTATAAGTCGACTTCTAGTCAGCTTCTAAAAATGGCAGAAAGTCGACTAAAAGTCGACTTCTAAATAGGCGACTTCTAAAAATGGCGGAAAGTCGACTAAAAGTCGACTTCTAGTCGACCTCTAAAAATGGCGGAATGTCGACTAAATATCGACTTCTAAATAGTCGACTTATAAAAGTCAATTTTCCGTCGACTTTTATAAGTCGACTTCTAGTCGACTTCTAAAAATGGCGGAAAGGCGACCAAAAGTCGACTTCTAAATAGTCGACTATAAAAAGACGGAAAGCAGTCAAGCGGCGCGTCATCAATATGGCGGCGAATCTCGAGGAGGCTGGAGGAGAAAATTAATGTTTACGCGAGTGCAAGGAATACATGCCGCGAGACAGGACACGATAAGACGTCGAAAAGCGCCGCGCTATCGACCACCGCCACGAAACGTCGTCGTCGTCGTCATCATTGTCTTCTCGTTGACTTCCTCGATTAGATCAGAATACTGGAATTTGACTGTATGTATGTTGCAATATGTTTGAGACGGTTGTCTATATTGTCTACAACAAGAATTTTTACAGAATGCCGTTACCAACCGACATGGGAGCGAAATTGCTGCGCCAGATGGTTCTTGCAGGTATGGCGGATCTAAAAGAGGATCAGGATAAGGCCAAGTGGAAATATGCTTTAGAGGTTAGGTATGGTGTGTTATTAATTATCATTGATAATTAAGACCTATTGAATGCGACCTCTCTATTCTGAACCATCTTTCAGAACACCATCAGAAATGGAGGAACCTGTGTTCATGCATTCTTCGTGCGTTCTACGGAAAATCAGTCCGGAATAGGTGGTTTATAAAGAGGTGTACACATTTAGTATATTGTCAGGATATATATATATAT